TCAATTAGGCTTATGTATCAAGCATGACCTGTTGCTTAGCAATGCATCCTTCTAAGGTATAGGGCCCACGAGTACAATCCCCAAAAAACTTTGAGGTTTGAAACTCTCCGAGATGTGATTTGCAACAGTCTGGGAAATATTTGAGTAACCTTCTTTTACTGAAGCATTGATGTTGGAATCAGTTTAAAAATGCATAGTTTCTGTCTTAAACCACAATTCATACAGTAGATGGTGCAAAATGGTCTGACAGTCAGTGGGTCTGGTCACCTACCAGCTTCTTTGACAGTACTGGTACACCACCAATATTTCTACTCAATAGATTATGACAATTCACAGTACTATTTTCATAAAGTAATTCGGAATTTGCAATCTTGCTTATGGATGCAGTTTTTTACCTCTAAGCAACCAGATCGCCTGAACCAAAAACTAAAATCACAGAGGCCTCATTTAGATTGATAAATAATGCTACCAATATGATCTCTGTATCAACAACATGCAGTTTAGTACAGTATATTATTAAGGTTCACTCTAAGGCTTACGGAATTTGTATAAGGCCAACAGCACACTAGATTTTAAAGGCCATAGGATATAGGCACACCAGTGCCTTAGAATGATTACTGTGCTCTCATTTGCTACACTCTTCTCTTCTGAAAGCTCCCAGCAAATGAAACTGGCATAGCTTGCTTACCCTCTCTTCATCAGCCAAACCCCTGTTTTCCAAAACCTTCCTCACTCTGAGAGTTAAGAAAAACAAGATAAGCTACTTAGCACATAATGACAGTTCAGGCTGGGTATCCTGTGAAACTAACCCATCTTCACATGACATCTCCACAAATTGAACTTAAGAAATTATGCCTGTATCTCATGTGTATAGCCCTATTTCTTGGGAAAAAACAAAGGTAACTTAATATAATTTTGCAAATATAGAAACCACCAGCCAAATTGATAGAATCAATCCAACTTGGTGATATAAATTTGGCTTCCACCAGCCAACATCTGAATTGTAATCATCCTATGGAAGCTTGCCTCCACTTGTAAGTAAGCAAGTGTAGTTGTTGGGTGTTCAGTTCAGGATTGTAGTTGAGCCATTGTGAAGAAGTAAAGCTAAATCAATCATGCCCTAACCCTCCCCAGATCTAATTGTTAACTCTTTCCTCTAGCTGCTACACATACCCTTGTAGATCAGTTATGAGAATTTGGTGTTGGATAAAGATAACAACTTCTACCTGATAAGTTTGAGTATTCTCATGACATGTTTGCTAAATAATGTATAGATATTATAGGGAGAAGTTAATTGTTTAACACTTCTGAGAGTTGGATGGTTAAAGTTTAATTGCCAATGGTATTGAAATTAGCTCAGTTAACCTTAAAAAAAAAATCTTACCTTTCACTCTCATCTGCTTGTGCCTCAGCTAGTTTCAGTTGTTCTGTTATTGTACTAAGGCGTGATTCTGCAGCATCCAAATCATCTTCAATCTGTTGCAACTCTTTTGTTAAGGAAGATACTTCCTGTTCAGTCTAAAAATTAAAAGTTGGAAAATAATTCCAAAACATGACTGTGAAATCACACAAAGCTGACTTTTTCAATCAGATTTTTTAGGATACAAACCAAAAATCAGTTGATTACAACTAAACAGACAGTAGGGGAAAAAGAGAAATTGCAAAATTAACAAAGCTGTAGGCAAGGACAGAGTAGTGCTCTGGATAAAGAGAAGAGCTCTCCCTTGAAAAATGAGATATTCATTTGGTTAGAAAAATTTTCTTTATCAGCCATGACTTAAAACTCTTTCCTCTGACAGCTCTCTGCCACAACAACAGATGTTCACTCACTGAGAAACTGGCTGACTGTTGTGAACTTGACGTGTTTCAACTGGCACCATCAATAGTTCTGTCTTCCATTGGCAATAGATAAATTCATAAAATGTGACTCATCCTATTCATTCAACAGGTATATGATTTCTCAAAGATGGTGGGACGTGCCAAATAAATTTATGTTATCTACATGTATCTGTAGTTACTTTTTACCAGTTCAATTGATAGGTTTTGATCAACTCTAGTGATCTAGTCATGATGAAATCGAGAACATTTAGCAGCCATTTCAGCGTCATATTACCATTGTTTGTGGAAGAGACACACTTGTGTGAAGAGAAATTGCGTCAAATATTTTGTAACTGTGCCAAATATTGAAGTCAATTTGATTATACTGATACCATCGCTGTCGATTGCCAGCACTAAATCTTTCATACAGCTTCACTGACAGGCAATAAAACCTTGTGAAAATTGTGAAATATTCGATGAAAAGAAGAGCTTGGAAACTACTGTAACTCGACCACAGCTTTATTATGGATCAATTTGACCCAAAGATTAGCTCTGCGTCAAGTGAACAAGCCTTTATCTGTTTTCATGAATAAAACTTACAAATGACAAGCTGACTAAATAACCACTCCTCTACTTCAAAACAGAAGATCGTCGGCAAATAACGGAGCATTTTGCATTTCCATATAGAGAACCGAGCAAAGGAATTTGGGCCGGCCATATTTCTGATCAATCGGCCTGTTTGCAATGAGTAAACCCTTCAACACGAGCAATATATGTTGAAAAGAAACCTTTTTATTACACATATCGAACAAATTGCCATACAGAAACCGTCCAAAGTCGATCAGAGGGTAGTTAGTAACAGTAAAGGGTTAACAACTAATGCTAAACGAGCTGATCGTGACAAATAATCGAAGTTGTACTCACTTCTGCGGCTCGATCTTTCGCCGATTTCAAATCGCCCTCTGCTTTATCAGCCCGTTTTTCTGCATCAGCGAGAGTGTCGCGAAGAACAGCCATCTTTTTCTTTATCTGCTCCATTTTGTCTGTTGGGAACTACTCGACCAAAACCGATATTAAACAAGAAACAGTGTGCAGTCTTCGAGTGACAAGATTTTGTTGAACACAGAACAACGACTGACGCCCAGATTCCCAACATTCTAAGCCAGATGCGTGCCATTCCATATATGGAGCGAGGGACTTACCTGCGGCATAAAATTATCACGGATTTTTATGCGATCAACATTTTACCGGCTTAACTTGCTTGTAAATCCTCCATGAGCGGATTTTTTTTTCTATCAGTTTCTCAGGTTGTTGAGAACAGATGAGAATCGATTTTCTTTTTGATCATTTTGAAAGTCCTACAGCGCTCGTAAACAAAAAAATATTTCTTGAACTCGTTAGCGGAAATATCGATCGACTGTGTTTTCCTAAATAACGGGAAATTAGAGGTATTCGAAACAAGAAGTTGTGGAATTCGATAATCTTTAAAAATGGAGTCGTGGAAAGAAGTTTTCTACCTTCGCAATAATTCGAGAACCATCGGGAGAATTCAGACTCCTGATGTAACGCGATGACTGATTTTGTCACGCATTAATGGATAATGATATGTGTTTTGAAAAAAATTACGACCCAATTGACCTAAAAAGGAGCTGATTTTGTCTGTGGGATAAGATAACAGTAAAATATTCGAGGGAGAAAACCACGAGCAAAACATTTCCGAATAGATAATTATATAATATACACACTTTTGTGGTTAGAAATATGTATCTCGCTACCCCCTTCAAAACGGCTTACGAAAAAGGAATCAGAAATATTTGTAACTACAACTCTGTCTTTGAAGATCACGCAATAATGGTTTTGTCACGCAATTATTTCTGTGACGCTTTCATAGCAAGCTATTTAAATGATCACAAGCCAGGCGGCTTTAGTGCAATGAATATCTGCTTGGTTAACAAAATATTCAAATATCTTTCCATAAATATTTAAAAGATTACTATAATCACTTGACCTTTATGGTGTTTAAAAGGCATTTATGATAAAAGTATGACCGTGCTAATATGTGCAATAACCTCAAAGGACAAATTTCTGACGTGTTTGTTTATCGTGCCATCCGAGTTTGTTTGGAACCCACACAAGTGAACAAAATTCGGATCCTACCTTTAACAGCAAATTCTACACAACCAGGACTGAGTTGTGATAAAAATTTGAAATGTGTTACCCTCGTTTGAGATGATAAAAATGTGGTGCGTGGGAGGGTATGAACTGAGATCTGACAATTAAATCATCAGTCAGTCAAGCCGGATTTAGATGAGGAAAATATGGATAAACGGTGAAGACTTCTCTTTCTGTAGAAAAAACGCGAACGAAATTCCAGCGCAAGACACCCAAAAAAGGGATAAAATTATAAATCTTGGAGGTTTGGCGCACCTTGTGATACTGAAATGAATACTTCTTATCTCGATGTGCATTAAATTTCCATCACAGATGGCAGAGAGTTATGAAATTGATCAGATAAGACAAAGATCTTTTTTTATTCAGTTGCCGTCTTATTTACAAAAAAATTAAGACGTAAATCTAATACGATACAACTTATGCCGCTGATCAACATCAAGTACCCAGGACACTAGTCCCTCTAACATACTGTAGGGAACTTAGGAGAGCACAAGAGACCCAAGCTTGATGTTCGAGTACATCTGTTCTTCATTGTTATAACACAACACAAGAAATATAAGGATCTTAGGGTTCAAAGAGGTTAAGATTCAAAACACAAACCGTTTACCCCTCCCTCCCCCTCCCTCTCTGCGGTTGTCCTCCGGCAAATCAAAAGCAATAATCAATCAAAATGCGTATAAGATTCAGCCAATCACATGATGCGTAATAAACATAGAGAACAGATGATGTACTCGTAAATCTAGGTTGGTTAACATGAGCAAATAGCAACGTCTCCGCTACTGCGTCCAACAGAACACTGAAAATGTTGCCAGTACTTCACAATACCTAAGGCGTCATCACATGACGAAAGCCAATAAAATAAATATTAAATAAAAACAACCCTATGTACAGTTCTTAAAAAAATACTGCATATTCAGAAATCACTTATATCTCCATTTGTACAAAAGCTATCGACAACATTTTTGGCGCAAGGAGCCTGCCTCTACCAAAGGCTAACAAGGTTAATCTAGTTTTTTTTTTCCGTAAAACGTCGAGAACAGCTGCCATCCATCGGGGAAGCCTTTAGTCTTGAAATTCCTTGGAAGGTGAAAAACGCAAAACGTAGTAAGTATGTAGTAAAGAAAAACAGGGGACCCAGTTTACGAAGTATTGCAATAAATATCGGAATATTATTTATCAACCACTCCAATTCAAAACTAACAACAACCGCGTCCTGGTTAACCGCGTTTTCCCGCGCTTAAAGCGGTTCACTTGTTCTTACTTTGAGTTCTCATTGGCTCCTTTTGATATGTCCCTTAATTCTGATTGGTCATTGTGATTACCATGGTTTGCGTTTTACAACACTCAATCGAGATGCGCTTTGGAAATAATACCTCTTAACTACGATTAAAATGACGCAGCCAGTGAATTAATCTTCCACTTCAGCGTCATCCACAGTTTCTCCTTTCTTCAACTTTGCGATTATCTGAAATAATAATAATAGGTATGAATAAATTGAAAGAAAGCGTGCGAGCACCGAATGAAGTCGAGCTAGAGTGTGACATCAGTCTAAACTTACTCCCTTCAATCTGTTGATCTCTTTGTTGTCGGCGTTTTTCTGAGCATCGTTTGTAATAAGTTTAACGCGAGAGGCATACCTGTAAATAAAGAAGGAAAAATAAAAGTTTAAAAACAATTTAGAAGGGAAAAACCAAGTTACCAACGTTGTCAAAGACATGTCGTTTAATAACGCGAAGAGTAAGAAGTTGACCTTATCGCCCAGAAAGACTAACAATATGAAATAACAACGTGCCCATATACATCGGAGGTGAATACTTGGTAAAACAAACGATAAATACTTTAGAAATGTTGCACTTTCAAGTTGTCAATGTAAGGTTAAGTTAATATGCTCACGTCAGAGATGTGATAGTTTCATCCGTGTTGTAATCAGCTGGGGATATGTTCACAAACATAAGAGTTTTTGCGTTACCACCTGGGAAAAAAATAACAAGGAAAACGATGAAGCGCAATTTTCATTTGGGTATGGAGAGTGGGGCATGATTGGTTTTGCTCTACTTCGCTGTGTGATTAAGAAAAGTGGGGCTTTTATCTCAACCTATCAGATGACCAAAGCGTTTTCCCGCCCTTCAAGCAAGTTGCTTGTTTTTACTCTGAACTCTTATTGGCTCCCTGTGATAATTCCTTGGCTCTGATTGGCCGTTGTGTTTACATCAGTTTTGGCTTAATGCCACTAAATCGAACATTACGACAATAAGTCGATCCGTTTTGGTTCAAAAATGAGACTGTTTCACAACTGAACTCCGCAGTTCTTACCCTTTCTAAGGCAAAATTCATTCGCATCTTTTTCGCCCTCTTACCGAGTGAATCCTGCATGAGTAAGGTAAGCTTGTTGTTTCTGTACGGAATAAACTGCTGCTCGCTGGATAAAGCCGAGATTACGTCTCCTAAGGCACTTAAACTCTTGTTAATCGATTGGGCTTCCTGTAGGATGCATATCAAATTTGATTAAGCAAGTGGAAGGTAAAAAGAAAGAAGAAAAGAGATCTTGTTGTAAAGGAGCGTATGCGTTAAGAGATTAAATGCTTAAAACAATCGTACAACATTTTTGCTGGTTCTCTATAAAACTACCTTGAGTTGCTCGGCGCTTGCACCAGTCTTTGCGGCACGTTCAGATCCGGCCAAATCAACCAAGCTTATCTAAAAAATAGACACATAATTAACACTCTGTCACGCACGGGAAATTGGGGTAATAAGGATACAAAAATAAGAACTCTTTCTTTTCACAGAAAAAATTGGCAAGCGTATTGAGAAAAAAACAATTACACATGCAGAGGGACTTAGGGAAGACTCACTTTTCCTTTGAGGACAGCACCAGAAGTTAAGTTTGTACTCTCGATAATGATTCCGAGGATAAGGTGAGACCGAGAACTCTCCGCATTCATTTCTTAAAAAAAAAAAAGAAAAAAAAAAGAAACATCAGTTGTGTGGTGAACATAGTTGATGATAAGGTGCACGAAGAAGATTCTCGTAACCTTAATGTTTGATTCAGGGGTGGTATTATACAAAGAAATTAGAAGTTAGTCACTCTCAGTGGTCAAAGGACTGTTTTCGTTTGAATCGGTGGGTTAATCTAACAAAGGAAAATTAAAATTTTTTTTCTCACTTGTGGAAGAGACGTGTCTGTTTTCAGAGCCCCTCTCAAATATGGTCCAAAGCTCATCCTTAGTAGCTGCTTCCAGCATCATAGATCCATGTACAAACACAAGACCCTAGGAAACCAAAGACGTCAGGATCGACAAATATCAGTTATTGTGTGGAAGGAAAGCTTACGATTTAATTCAATCCTAATTCATTTATTTATTCATTACCTTCTTATCTTTCTTTATGTCGAGTTTTGCGGGCTATTCAAAGTGTTAAGGGTAAAACAACACTTAAACTATGTTTGCATTAAGTGATATTTAGGAATCAAATACGTGACTATCGAGGAAAACAAAGTTAGATTCGATAACCAACCCCTATCTGAGTAATGCGCTCCCCTTTCCCTCTGGGAGAGAGGCGCCTCACTCCCAGCAAGTCACAATTTGCTTTTTTTGGACACGCGCGATGGACTCGAAAAGGATGGACTGCTTGTACTCTACCGAAGACACGGTTGCGAGTATAAGGTAAATGTTGAAGTTAGCAAGGACATGATTGTCCCGCTCTTACGTCCAGCTGTTACTTCTCGAAGAGTTATAGGCGGAAGAAATCGAGGGTAGCAAACAAAATCATAACAATAAACCGACGTGTTGAAGGTAACCAACAGCAACACAAACATAACAATTCAAAGGATACTTCTTTGCCATGAGGTGCAAGTAAATCAATCAGTTTGTCATTATATAACTCCAGCATGTAACATGTAACCTTGAAAGAAAATTTGGATCTGAAGAAAAAAAAGTGCAATAGTTAAGCTTCTTAATGTACCAGGTAAGTATATTTACGATCATTATTTCGTATTATGCGATGACGCTGTACATTCGCGAGCCGCGTTAAACGAACTAAACGATAATAGTAATGATAGTGATTTATCTCGTGCATTCCCCATATGAATATGCTCTAAAGAGCCTTAAAACACTTTGCGGGGGACTTTGGCTAGGGTGAATTGGGCAATTGATAATTTTTGAAAGGGAATTTTTCGAGTACCCTTAATTTGAGAACTTTTGGAAACAAGACCAGACCACAACCCTTGCCTTTCTTTTTGTTATTTTTATCTTCTTTTATTTTTTTTTCAGGACATTCCATCGAAATTCGCCCAATAAACAGATCTTACTCACTTTTGTTCATCCATCAACTTGTAGATGGCATCCATTGCACGTGGGGCGATGCCAGGTGATTTGAGCTCCTTATCACCGATCATAGTGTAAGTGAAAAGCGTTAAGGAATACAACGATTTTATGCTTATATTTGGAACAACGATGATTTTAGTACAGAGGTTTGCTTTGACTGGGCACAAACTATTTAACTTCAAATAATGGATTACAAGACAACGATCTTACCCTTATATTTGGAAAAAAAATTATTTCAGTACACAGGTTTTCTTTCTCTGGGCACAAACTCTTTACCTTCAAATAATGAACAAATGACGATATACCCTTAGGATGTATTCCTATAGAAATCCAAAGGAAAATTCCTTCATTTATTCCCCCCATGGATATATCCCACGACAACATTGAATACCTTCAAGTAATGAACAGATTTATTCCTATAGATATCCCAGGGTAAATTATACACACCGGGTCGTCTACGCTTAGCGTTCTTTACTCAGTTTTAGGTACAAAAGTTTCATTTCTTGGAGTAAAGGATATGTTTTGCCAGAGCCTGTTTGTCCGTAAGCAAAGATGCACACATTGTAACCATCCACAGCTGACTGGATAAGATTCTGACATGAAAAAGGAAAGAATCACTGTTAAAATACAAGTGCTGAAGCACTCGTAAGACAAATACCCTGGTTAGCAGAAAAACGCATCAGTAATTTTAGCTGGCCGCTTACAAGAACGGCCACAAGAGGATGCGTGGTAATGAGTAATAGGGATAATTATGCACGTGTCAAGGAGATCAGACCGGTTGGATCAATAATAAAAACAACTACTAGTCTGACTTCACAAATAGGTATACAATACAGCGCTACAAATACAGTGTATATGTTTTTTAAACTGGCGCCTTGGGGAGCTCGCGTTCAGTCCCCGCGCTTCAAGACGTTTGCTCGTTTTTACTTTTTGTTCTTTTTGTCACGTGATATTTTTCTTTTCCTTTGATTGGTCACTGAGGCTACTTTGGTTTTGGTATTGCGTAATTCAATCAAGCAGCACTCCAAGAACTTACATTTGTATCCTCAAACACTTTCTCCTGGCCGTGTTCAGGTGTAAATACTGCGTCATACTGGAAATCTTTTGGACCACGGTTGGTTTCCACGATAAGAGTGTACTCATCAGGTGACTTGATCACTGAATGGTTACCCTAAATTGTTGCAAAACATCTGTCAGTGAACCCATTTACATCCTGACATCAGTGTGCATATCCTCTATACTTTCCTCTATACATTACCCGAGGTAACGGTAAGGAGAAGAAATGCAGCCGCCTCAGAAATGTGTAAGGTAACAGGAATGTTCTCTCCAAGTCTGAATAAAATATAGCTCATAGCAGCCAGAGAATACCCCAATCTCTAATAAACAGCCTTAAGTTGTGAACAGCTCGTACCTCTGCAAATAGGATAGCAACGTAATGCTAATAAACTAAAAACTGTCAATCTCACCCTTTCCAGTTCAGATCTACTGAGCGGCCTTGCTCTGCAGTACACGCGGATTTTTCCTTTCATGTCTTCTATCATGTTGTAATATTTCTTACGTAAAATCTGCCGCAGAAAACAGATTATAAACAAGCTTATCAAAACTCTCCAAATTGGAAAAAAAGTAAAATAAAGAATCCTCTTCGGCGCTTTGAATTGTTGAAAGCACGAAAGAAGTGGCTGAAACACCGAGAGAGTCGAGAAACCTTATCAAAATACAGGTTGAAAGTGAAACTAAAGCAATGGAGAAATGCCGAGTTTGAATATATCAGCCTCTCTCTCTTCTCTTTTTGGAACACTCCGAAAACCTGTTGCATTACTTTTCACAAAAATAACTACTAAATGCAACAACCTATACTTGCAAGGAGGAATGAAAGTTAAAATGTAACTGTAATATCACACGTAAATTTCGAAGGAACAACTGTTATTGACTTACTCTCTCACTGTTGTAGTTATCTGATAAGTTTTTATTCTCTTCCCTGAGAGCTTTCACTTCCTTTGTTAAGTCATCCACCTTCTCTTGGGCGGCAAGACCTTCCTGTTATTGACAAAAATATCAAGTGATCAAATTTGAGATAAGTAAATATACCGTTCGCGTTTTCAGATCAAATTTTTTTCGTTTGTGAACTCAAATAAAGGGCAAATGTGAAACGTACCTGTGCTGCAACTTCCAGTTTAGAAAGAGTGTCCTTGTCTTTCTTACTGTCCGCTAACAGTGCATCATGTTCCTAACATTTATAGCAAGAATTTAAGTTAGGATTGATGTAATAGAGTGATTGTCAATAGAGTGTGGTAAAACCTCTTGACAAGGACAAGGAGCCAATGAGAACGCAAAGAAAAAACATGCAAACTGAGCGTGAGGAAACGAGAGTGAACGAGACACGCGAGGTTTTAATTTTTTCTTGTAATTGGTTAAGAGAGTGGCGCGAGTTTTCTGGGCCAATCACAGAGCGGAGTAAAGCAAAACCAAGCAATCCTGAATTACTCTCGACGCTAAATTGAAAATTTCTCCAACCGGAGCGAATTTAACAAAGCTGGCGTTTCAAACGTCATCCCAAGAACCAGATCACACGAGCCAGAGTCCAAACTGAACTGGGAAGTACTTAGCAAAAAACAAAAAAACTCATTTATTTAGCAAAAAAACGACCAAACCTTTTTGAGAACTTTGAATTCTTCTTCGGTTTTAGCTAAGGTTTCTTTAACTTTCTCAAACTTTTTCTTCTCCGTTTCCAGGTTCTTTTGTAAGTCTGTCGAAGAAATATCGCGATGTCAAACCATTATCATTTTACAAAAAAGGCTGCTATCAAGAAAGGTGGTAAAAGCTGGTGAGAGAGTGAACTCGAGGCGCGAATGACGCGCGAATGACGCGCCAAAAGACACGCGAAAAGTGGCCGTGTGACTTATCCTTCACGCACTCCTCGCGCGGATGCCACCGTTCACATGAAAACAAATAGACGCTAGACGCTACTGGTGAACGTACCTTTAAGTTGCTTTTCCGCCTTTTTAGCTGCCGCTCTCTATTGGACACAAGAGGAGTAAAAAAGAAAAAATACAGGTTACTCTACAAGAGATGGAACAAGTAAACTCGTACAACTTAAGCAGCAGTCTTAGTGTCACATACTTCTTCAGCTGAAGGTCCGGCTGGCTTGGATTTCGTCTGAGCCTCTTTAAGATCCTTTTCAAGTTGTTTTATTCTATTATGATCCTCGTGCGCAGCCTTCTTTAATGCTTCAACTTGTGCTTGAAGCTTTTCTTTTTCTTTGTTTAATTTTTCCGAGTCTACAGCTGTTTTTGAATCCTGTAACAGAACGCAGTCGAGTTAAATTGGAACGGGAGGGGGGGGGGGAAGGAACCAAAGGGACCCTAGGGGAGGGAGGTCTAGGGGAATTGGAACATTAGTGGACAGAAAATGTACTTTGTAACAATGTAAAAATAAATTAAAGGACTTCGCAAAGTTCTCTAACAAAAAAAGTAACTAAAAAAAGGAACTGGCAAAAAAGTGGTAACCACATAAGCAGAGTCTTCTGGTTGTCGATTGTTTTATCAATTTCACCGATCATTTCAAAGGTCAATTAGAAAATTGCTGACGAAATGTCTCTTTTACAATCAAAAATCACTATGAGAATCCTTAAGAAAGCCCGTTTTGTGGTTTGCTTAGTTTTCGAGCAAAGTCTAGAGACAGAAGGTGTCCTCACCCTTCTCTTTGGACCTCCACTAAGCCCTGTATCAATCTTGGAATCTTGAGGTCTCACTCCAGCAGCTTCAAGTTCTTTGATCTACAAAAAATCCATGAAAGTGACAGAAATGAAAACCCGAAGGTACAAAACTACCCAAAATAAAAATGAAAAAGAAAATCAGATCATTATTACTCCAAATTCAGGAACCAACGTCAAACTTCTGAACATACTCTCTTTTGAAGAGCTTGTATCTTCTTGTTCAGTTCCTCAATTTGTTTTTTAGATTTTGTATCACCCTGCTCCTTAGCATTCTTCAGTTCTTTCACCCTCTCTGCACGCATTTTCTTGTTCGCCTCCTGTTCAAACAGACGCAGGAAATTACAATTAGTCGCTACACTATATAGTGCACCCGTTAATTATCTGATCAGAATTTTTTAAACAGCCATAAATATACAGGTAGGTCCATCATCAGAACGGCAAACTGTATCTTTCCGTTAGTGAATATGTAAGTAGTCAGATGCTGGCAAGTTGTCTCCATCTTTTGCAGAGTAGTAGGTCAATCAATGAATCAGCCATATAAACAGTTAGTCTGTTTTTCAATCAGTCACTAAGTGGTGTCAGCAAGTTAGACAATCCCTAGAAGGGTCACTTAATTGTTTCATTTGCATCGTTAAAAAAAATCAAACATCGTCACAGTCTCCCCATCAGGCGCATGACATAAACATTCAATAAAGCAATCATTCTTTCATCAACATTGCAGTCTTTTTTTGAAGCTTAACCAACCTGTAACTCTGTTTCTGTTTGCTTCTGCAGCTCAATATTTTTGTTCAGTGTTTCAACTTTTGCAGTCAGGGTTGTCACAGAGGCTTTAAGCTGCACACAATCCTTCACTGATTTCTCCTTGTCCTTCTCAAGGGCAGCCTTCAAAAAGATCAGTCAATAATAAAACCTCATTACTAAAATATAACCCAAGAACACTTAACCCTTGACACCCTAACATCAGCATGCATATTCCAAATTCTAATCTCCATACATTTCCTGTAGCACTCTTTAAAAAAATTTAGCTTAAAAGACAAGAGCTCTTCAAGTTTGTGATCATTACCGTAATTCTCACAAGCCTAATGGTTTGATTAAGTACTGATACCTTAGTGAGAAATTAGATGCTTGTCTCCCTCAGGGGAGAAAGGGTTAACTACACAAGGGTACAAACAATGGCAACCTTTGAGATCAAGGTTATACTAGACAGTGACTGAATCAATCCATATAGACAGCCATATCATCGAAGCCAAACAATCATCACCAGCAACAACATTTCTAATCAATATTAACTGACCATTTTTGCTTGATATGCACCAATTTCCTTTGCTGTGTCAATGGGAACATTTTCCAAAAGCTTTTTCTCAAGTTCTTCTATTCTTGCTTTTGCTGCTGCCAATGCCTGAACAGAATAAGCCAAGACAATCAGCATACATACCTATGTGCACAACACCTAAGGATACCATTAAAAATAAATTATACCACATGAAAAACATACTTCCTCTTTTTGTTTGATTTCAGCCTCTAACATCTCCTTGGTGGAAGCTAGCTGTGCTTTTAATCCTTCCACTTCATCAGATGAGCCTTCCTTCAAACCTGCCAGTTCCTACAAGAAAAGAAAAAACAAGAAAGATAAGCTGCAGAGTAACATAGCTAGTGCAGCAAGTAAACCCAGTTTAACGCATTACAACCTAACCTTAATTATCATATCCTCTATACTGTTATCTTTATAATTCCTCTGATACTAACAACAACAATATGTTGGACAATCAGGAGCTTCTTGTATTGGTGATCATTTCCTTTATTCTCCTGCCCATTATATTTGATTCAAGAGTGATACCGTGCAGAGAAATTAGAGGCCATTCACTCTTGGGGGTAACTAATTGCAAGGACAGATAGGGGTCTTTACTGACTGAACTTTCAACTACTTGGCTAAGGAATCTGAACAACGTAAATAATAATTAGAAGCTACTCCAAATATTCAAACCTTTTTCAGAGCTTCAATCTCTTCAGTTTGAGCCAATAAAGTTTCTTTTTCTTGCTCTAATTCCCCATTTACTTTTTCCAGTTCCTCCTCAAGTTCAGAAATCTTGCCAGACATTCCCTGTGGTAAAGTTATGTCAATATGATAATTATGAATAACAGGTTAACAAATTTCAATATTTATTTTACACAATTTTAACTTTTCTTATCACTAAACTGTTTTCTTGTAGATATTAATGATCTTAAATTTAATGGTATTAAGCTTTTTGGAGAGCCACAAATTTCTCGCTAACTGAAGTTACTATTACAATGTGTTATCCCTGTAAAATTGAGTCTTCCCTTCACTTCATCTAAAATTTGTCCTGATGAAAAACACACAATTAAAAGTGAAGGTTGAAGAGGAGAACCAAAATCATCAATTACAAGTCATTGACTGACATAATGCAAAATTCCAAGAACTAACATAATAGAATATTAAGTAAAAGAAGTTTTCTATTTTGATATTTTAACTGCATACCTCAACATCTTGTCCTTCCACTGATAAAGTTGGAGTGGCCACAGGGACTCCATCCCCAATCTCATCAAGTTCATTCCTTAGATCTTCCACTTCCTTCTCCAAATTTTTGACTTTCTCCTCCAGTTCAGAGTTCTTTTCTGTAAGTTCTTTGTTATTTTCCTCATGTTCTGAGACTTTCTCTTCCAAAGCTTCTTTTTCCTTCGTTAGTTTCTCCACAGACACTTCCAGTTCATCCCTTGCTGCCTCAAGTTGGCTGATCTTGTCTTCCAGTTCTTCTATTCTTCCACCACTATCAGAAAGCCCTCCTGTAGCTACAGTTTCAGGAACCGTCCCTTCCTTTAACATCGTCATAACAGCAACAGTATTTTCTGCTTTCTTAAGCTTTTCTTCCTCCTGCCTCAGTTTCTCCATCATAGCTTGAACTTCTTCACTCCTGAAAAACAAACAAGACAGTTGACCACAGAGTGTGTTTACTCACTAATAGTAAATTACAGGGTTAATGATTCCAGAAAAACACCCATTCCCAAATCTGTCCAAAATCTGTCACAAACCTGTCATCTTCAGTTGGTTCCTTGCCCTCATGTTCCTGTTGATATTGCTCCTTCCACTTCTCAAACTCCTCTTTCATTCTTTTCTGTTCATCTACCAAAGCCTGTCTTTCTTCTTCAGCAGCTTTCAACTTCTCTTCTGTCTCTTTGTCATCCACTTGTCCTGCGACCGCTGTGGCAGCCAGCAAACCTTGCAACTGCTCCCGCAGGGCTGTGCATTGCTGTCTGCTTTCGCGAAGTTCCTACATATTAAAAACAGGAAGTCTCAATCATGCTCTTGTCAAGCAAAGTAATACTTTGACAGCTTTACAGTAGTTTGCACAGTTGAAATCATCAAACCTGTTTATTATCTGTTGCCTGTTTCTCAAATCTTGTCTTTTCCTTGCCCAGACTGCTTACTTCCTCTTCCAGCTCCAAAATCCTTTCTTTTTCCTTCTCAAGTTCCTCTTTATACTTGATTGTATCTGCTTTATTCTTTTCAATTTCCTCTTGAAGCTTTGTAATCTCCTGAGTAAGTCGATCCCTTTCAGCACTGTCTAAGACTGTCACAGTAGTTGCAGTTGCAGCAATCACACTCACAGGCTGTTCTTCAGCTTGTTCTTTTACCTCCTCTTGGGTCTCCTCTTTAGATAACTCAGTCTGTTGTGAATCTGTGGATGCTGATGTCACTGCAGTTGTTGTTGCTACTACAGTACCTGTTGTGACTGTTGCCCCTCTGTAACAAAATTACAATCACCACAGATTAGCCTGTAATGAATAGCTGATAGTGATGTCTGATCATCAGTGAGGGTTGCCCTGAGAGGGACTGTTGGAAGAAATAACAACCAACATTTTGATGATCTGAGCTGACATCATCAACATCCTTAACCATCAGGTTGTTGAAACATATTTAATAACTGTCCCTAACCCCTGTCCTTTTCAGAACTACTCTCTTCCATGTAATCAGACAACACAAGCAACTATTACTCCTTGGTTCACTCCATTCACTGCATGAATGAATAGCTTGTGAAATTCAAAACTGACATTTTGGCTTAGGGCTTCTTTCTGTTCATGTATCATGTGGGGGGTTGCTGTTGATTGTAATTTCAATTCTTTTTCCATGGCATCACAATGTATCTAATCAATATGTACTTGCATAACTTCTTGTGTCTTGGAAAATTTTTTAGAAATATTTGAAGAAATTTCACAGGGAAATCTAAAATATAACTGTAAAGACAACTTAAAAAATAATTGAGAGTCTAAATAATTTTTGCCAAAGAAGAAAATATAGTTTTTTTAATCTTGTTAACAGAGCCCCAAGTGTGAAAGATACCAAGACCTTACCTTGCTTTAAGAGCATCAATTTCTTCTTGCATTTTCTGGATTTCAGATTTCAATGTATCTACCTCATTTGTGTGTTTTTCTGTCAGCTCATTTATTTTCTTTGTTTCTTCTTCCTCTTTGTCCTTCAACAACTTCTGATGCTCTTCTTCTTTCTCTTGCTTTTCTTTTTCAGCAGCTTCCAGCTTTTGTTTCAGCTCAGTGACTTCTTCCTCATGTTTTGCCTTTAGTGCTTTGATTTCTTCTTCATGCAAGGATAGATTCTGCTCTTGTTGTCTCAGCCCCTGTTCCTCTAAAGCTTTCAACTTCTCTTCCAGCTCTTTCACTTTTCCTTGTTCACTTTTAAAATCTGCCAGCACTGAAAACATATTGGGTTCATTTGAATCAATAATACAGCAATCATCAGACATTTCACTCAAGTTTACATTTGTACAATTGTAAATTGGTTACTTACATATTGTGTATCTAGAATGTCGTTCATCAAGCATTCTTGTCAATTCTTTCACTGCTTCTGCCTGTATGTGGATAGATTTGAAGAAAAGTTGTTTGAATAACTTTAAAAATAACTTTTAAACTCATTAAAATAATGAAGATGGATCTTAAGCACAAACACTTTTGAGACATAGATGGTCTTTTTGAGATCTTTTGGCTAACTCGTTTAGTCTATAATGCAAAAACGACTAAAGTTTTCTGGTAAATCAGTGGATGTGCAGAAGGTCAAAAACAGAAGCAAAGAAATTTTAATACAATTCTTATCTGTAAATAATTTCCCACCTTCTCTTCCTCAAGGCGGTTAAACTCCTCCCTGTTTTTAACTAACAATTGTCGTTTTTCCTTCAAGAGGGCCTGATTCTTCCCTTGGAGACTCTGAAAAAAAGATTACGACAGAACCAAATTCTGTAAATATTAACAAACTTTGTAAAGTCTGCAAATGGTGACAGGAAACACTTAGTCTTAATCTCTTGGAGCTCCCAATTTCTGCACTATGAAGCAAATAGGAGTATAAGTACACCCCCTATAAGGAATGCTTGTAAATTACTGGTCAACCCCCCTCCCCACCCCCAACATATCATCAGGTTTCCAGACAGTTTTCCAAATATCATCTACACTCCCGAGTTCACACAATTGGGCCCTGAGTAGGGAGGGAGGGGGACAGTGTGGGAGTAAAGTTACTTAGTTGTGAACACAACACAATGACCTGGAAATGGTTTCAACCAGAACCCTTTGATCCACATCACCACATTCACCAATTAGCCACCACATTTCCCACACCATGGTCTGTTAATTAACTTGACTGGTAAGGTGAGTGCAGCTGTTCACAGAATGGTGACAAAGTCTAAAGACATAATCAAGATCTGCATCTCTTGCCTCCATAGCTTGCATATTGAATAGAAGAGCTATTTGTGGCTGTATTTTGATAAGCAAAAACCTGCCTTCAAAATGAACTCTTTACTAATTAACTTTGGGTGGATTAAACCTGAATGGGTGTGTGGAGTTAAGACCTCACCTTAACTGTTTCTTGCCAGTAAGTATTTGTACGAAATGAATCCTCGCGGTGAATTGTAATAACTTGACGGAAGGTGGTGACTTTGTTGGAATATTCATTGCGTAAGTTAAGAACAAAGGTGTTGAATTTAGCCTGCAAATTCAAAATGATAATTGTTCATAATTACAATAAATACAAATATGAGAAAAAAAATCGCTAAAAATGTAATGTAAAACAAACAAACATCTTCAAAAATCTGGAAAAGTTGTACAGCTGTATGTATATTAAAGATTTCCTGATAATAATAGAAACTGGAATATAGTAGAAACTTTATTCATGGGTCAAAAAGGATCTTCATACATGTAGCTGACAGTGAAAAAAAAGAATACTACTAATTGTTAACACAAGCCAGGTTATCAATCGAACATCAAGGAGGTAAGTTTCTAAAGAAACAGTGTGGTGCTGTGATGATAGGGGGTTTTAATACATGTAGATAATTTGGTGTTATCAACTGAGCTGATAATGTAAATTGGCTACCATAAAGAGTTTCCATAGCTGACCTTTCCAGTGTTAGCCCTTTGTTAGAGCAAAACAGTCTGATAGGCTGAGGGATATTTAGGAAGGCTGGCTGATTAGTTCCAATCAAGAAGATAAAGTATACATCAAAATGTACAAAGAGATACCTGAATATCATCTTCCAGAGTTTTGTACTGTTCCTGAATATTATCAACAACCTTTACATGACCACTTTTCATCTTCTTCATGTCATCCATTACCTGTACCATACCACAAACAATAGATCAGAGTAAAATAGCAGAGAATTAAGTCTCTTAGTTGGAAGTCCTGTCGGCAAAAGCCCTCGCATTCCAAGTTTGCATTACCTTGTTTCTAATCCAAGCCAGCTGTTAATTTTTACCTGTAAAGAGGTCATCTCTAGGCAACTGACAAGTTTTTAACCAGACAAAAAGTGAAATTGGGCAGATGAGGATGGTTATCAAAGAGAAGATGACATTGGTCAATACATTATTAATAATTCCACCTACATGTACGGCCTCAAAAGAATTGTAACTGTAAAGTGAATTGAAAACAAATCTCTTTCTCACTGTGGTTGTGGCTACAAAATATAAATTTCATATTTTTCAAAAGTCAGAATGTCTAACCAGGCCAAGCTTTGCCTGCCAAACCCTGAAATTTACAAAACATTGGTCTGATGAATGCTATTTTCAGGCTTGTTAAATAACTTTTCATGCTCACATAGTCACACAGAAGCAGTGAAAGACTGCCACTTACCCTTTGAATACATTCTTTAGCATAGATGTATGGTATATAAGCATTCTGTTCTCCCTGCAGCTGCGGTATTGCAAGCATTCCACTGCTGCGACTGGATGCACTTTCTTCAAAAAAACAATAGAAAGGCTTCATGTATAAACAGAGTTGAAAAGTTTAACAGCTACACTGTTTGTGCAAAACAACAGCTCTGATTGAAAGTAATCGTAAGAAACCAAAGTATTGTATACCAGTAATAACTAAAGCATAATTGTAATAATTATAGTTATGGGATATTAGCTTTATATTCGCCATCTTGTAAGTCATAAGTAAGCCTAGGTAGTTGTACAAAGTCAGTTAGTATTGTACATGACAGTTGAGAAGGTAAAAAGAAGCTATGGCTGCAATTTACCTCTATCTCTCAAACCCTCAATGGAAACTGGAGAAGGTTCTTCCCATGGGACAATCTCCTGTGACTAAAACATGATAACAAGTTCATTTAGAAGTTTTTCTTGTCTAATTACCAATAAACTGCATATTTGAATATTTATCTTGTAGTTTACAAAAATACATGGGGAGAAATGATTTCAAACCAGTTTTATTTGTATTACTCTTTGTTTAATGTACTGTGCTTGGAAAAGGCAAATGCTCATCAAATTAAACTGGTTTTAATTCATGTCTACTTGACATTCATTTGCTGTAATTCTACATCATACTCCTTGTATATATATAGCCCCTATGGCTATGCAGTAACATGCCCTTGGTAGATTACAAGCAATCCAGATTAACATGCAACATCAAGTCCCATTACATGCACAAAACTTTGGCTCTCACCCCATTCATTGATGCAGGGTGATCAAGTCTCTCTCCTTCGCCACTTGATTTTGAGTGGAACCCTGATGATTTCAGTTGTGAGCTACCACTTGCCTCAGGCTTTGCTTGAGAATGTGATCGGGTGGATGGTGCTGTCATTGGTCTCTCTACTGGTGCAGTAGCTGTTGTTGGTCTTGCAATTGCAGTTGCAGGGCGCTGTTTTGCTCTCTGATGGGCAGAGCTTGGTCGACTTGATGCAGCATTAGATTCGACATCAGCATCCGTCTCAGCAATACTCCATGCATCTTGACAAAAACAAAAACAAAAGGTCTCTCAGTACCATAGTCTTAAAATGTAACTTCTTTCTACAATATCCAAACATCATCCAGCAAAAAGGTAATGCAAATTCTCAAATGTTATCTGGTAAAAGTTGCCATCTTGATCGAACATCAAATTCTCATTACCATTTTACAAAGAAATGAGTAGCAGTTAGATGGGAGAATTGACAATCAGATCTTAGGAGTTAAAGGATGAAATACTTCCACAATCCAAATAGGATATTTCTTTGTCACATGACGAAAAGCATCCTAAAAATTAACCACATTTGTACAATGTACATATTTAAAATCACAACAACAAAACCAACATAACATTCCATTGGTGAGCTTAACTAACATTAGTTGTCATGATTATTACCTTTCCTAGATTCTGGAGTCTGCCTACCACTGTCTTCTCCATCTGTTGGTACAACTGCATTTCTTTTCACTCTCTTTCTTGTAGCACTTTCCATACTTGCCATGGAGTCAGTTTCGGTGCCATTCACTCCTTCAGTGTCTGTCGTTTGTGGAACTTCTGTGTCAGTTGTCTGTGGAGGTTCATGAACTCCATTTATTTCTGAACCATTCATTTCATCTTCAGTGGTACCTCTGTTTGTTTCATCTGCTTCCTTGACTGATATTAAGCTGCCTTTCTGTGGCTCAAGAGCTGCTTCTATGATTTGTTCTGAGGACTCTCCAGATTCCTTGGTTCCTTCAGTGTCATCTGTGTCAGTCCATGCTGTTAAAAATATTCATTGAAAGTGTGGTCATTAAATCCACCACATCATAAATATTAAAATAATATCATTTTAGGGCAAAGAATTTTCATCATGGTACGCCTCTGTAAGAGTAATATTAAAGCTGGTCACATACCTACCTGGCCCATGTAAAATTAAAGTTGATCCAGAAAAATTCAAAGTTATAGTACATATAAGCAATTTGTATCTGAGACCTCAATTTATGAAATAACTGACTTAATAAAAGTGCCCTGATTGGTCCTCTCACCAGTATCTCTTGTAACAGCTAGGTAGGTTACATATTGGAAAAAAATTAGAGCCTTCTTGTCTTAGCAAGTGAGCCAAAGTATTTGTGCGTGAAAAAGTTGACCCACCTAACAATGTTACCCTTCCTACCAAAGTGGGACAACTCCCCCTCCTAAGTTGTTTTGCCCTTTTACCCTTTCCCCCCCTTTCCCCACCCCAAGATGAATTTCTCTTCATCATGTCAAAGGTTCATATACTTTTACAGAAGTAAAACATAGAAGTTTCAAAATTAAAAGTTAGCTTGGCCTGGTAACATAGTGGCAGGGTTGCCTCAGGTACCCAAGATCATATTTATGGGCCCTGAGAGCAATAGTGACTGTCATGAAAAAGTTCATGACTGCAAAACACACATTTTCCAGGAAGCACCATGAACTCCACTATTCAAGTGACATCCAAAGGTGCACAAACTCTTGTACTGTGTTAGAAAGCTGAGATAAAACAATCACTTTGGCAAGGCGATTTTAAGGTAAGTACGTGTTTTAGGTAGCTTAAACAAAAATCAAAGTGCTGTTTCTGGGGCACGGACAATGATTTGTGGTACAAATAATCATTAAGTGATTCCACAGCTGATCTGTCGACCTCTAGATGTTGTTCTCATATTTATGTTTGGACAGTTTACAGATTAGTAAGAACATATTGTATATATGGAGGATCATTAAAGTCTTTCTTTCAACTCACATGATCACTCAGCTGTTTTGAACTCAGACATTGATCGAATACTTTTGTGGTCGACTTCGATTCTTAGGAAGTAATGCATCGTTCAAATCAAGGCAAAGGCCAAAAAAAGCCAAAAACACCAGAAAATTTATAATTCATCGAAAAATTACGCAGATTTACCACCTATACTTATCGCCCGTTGAGAATAGATTGGTAGAATCAAGCTGAGACATTCGCCACACCGGCAATTCTGAAGCTTACCTTGTTCCTTCGATAAAGTGGATGCCTTGCTTTGAGGTTTCGATGGTTTTCGCTTCGGGGCGACCTTTGGGTTTCTTGTTGCCATCATTTTGCCGTGTTTTTGGGTTAAGAAACCTTAGGTGTTTCTCATCTACACTGCCGAATTCCAATAACTCTAAGATAAATAGACACTCGACGAAATACTATAAAGTACAACCACCTAAAATGCGGCTTGAACCGGCTTAGTCCGCATTTCGAACCGATCGAGTTCCAAATATTCCGAGCGAGGGAACTTACAGAACCAGCAAATAAAATCGTTTTTTGAGCAATACTTGAGCACCATAGAAAAATAAGAAATTGTAATCAGATAATACGAGCTCTAAAGGTCATTGTCAAAGCTATTGTAACGCTAATGAAGTCAAAATGTTAGGGTCTGAGTTGCTATAGAACTGAGTCCATGTTTACTGCGTGACGTCAAGTCAGCTGAACCAGTCGATAATCCATCGGTGATTACCCGACGCGCATCACTCGGTGACTCTTCGAAAACACTCGACATATTCAAGAATACTACAATGTCCTTCGAGAACCATAACTCTAAAGTGACTTATTCCGAAGGAAAATGAAAGCGCTATTAATTTTAGATTTTATTTTGGTTTTATCTGCCCATGAGCCTGAACATCCCCCCGGTCATCTGAAACCTTTAGGTTCTCATCAGCCTCCTGTAGGCGTATTGGATAGCACTGTCTTTGTTCCATCGTCTCGGGAATTCTTTGATCAAAATGTTCTTCCGGGAAAACCTGTGCTCTTTAAGGGAGCAGCGAAGAAAATGCCTGCTTTTTCAAAGTGGACGGATGAATATTTAAGGTAAGGTCAACATATGTGGTGGATAATAAATCTCATGGTCAGCATAATTGATGAAAATTCATTCAACCACATCAAGTGAAATATTATTTTCTGAAATCAAGGAGTCAAGGAAACTTCTGCTAGTTTACAGGCGACCAGTTTCGAATTGTTTTTTTTTTTAATTATTTTAACTTCGGAAAATTAACAGAGAGCAGAACTGCATATTTCGGGCTACCTGTTTTCAACATTTCTAGCAGGGCTGTCTATTTCCCTTCGACAAGTTTTAGCTTGTTTTCAATTGAAGTTGAAACACCTGTATCAGGTCAGACTCTGAATAAGAATTGAGGCAAGCCTATTACGCTTAAGGATTTATCCATTATATTTTAAAACCATGAATTTTTAAATATCCTCCAGCATTTTTAGGCCAAGATAAGTTTACTTTTTCCTTTAAAACTTGATAAAAAACACGATAAGGGAGATTAGTGTATCACAAAAAGCAAAAGATATACAAACTAACTCGTGATACAAACTAACTCGGCACGAATGATTAACTATTAATGATTCACCCGTTCACGCAATTTTGTGAACAATTGAAAGTCTTTCAAGCAATCAATACATTATTTTGACCCTCTGACTTCTTGATGTAATTTTGTAGCTCCTAGGTAACAAATTGACTGTGTCTTGTTATTACCACTTATTTTGTTTTCTCGAATGACATGAAAAGTATGACTGAAATATTTGAAACTTGGAGACATTGAAGAGCAAAGCAAAGTAAAGTTATTTTGGTGAAGCTAATCATGGAATTAAAAAAAATTCCCCTTCAATGATATGTGAAATGGAGGGAGACATCCTGTCTCTCAAAATCCCAATTTTGTTAGTTATCTAAGTGTCAGTTCATTAAAAATATCATCTTCTTGGTAGTAACATGTCTCAATTTTTAAAGCCAAGCAAAATTTTGCTTTAGGAACTAGTTTCCCATCTCCAAAATTCTTTTAAAATTTCTGGAATTCCCTTTTTTTAAGGATAACAACCTCATTCTTTTAAATGACATTCTTATTTTATATCACCTTCAACATAGTGAAAAATTTGGACAAGAGGGCATTGATGTTGAAGAAGGTAAAAAAGAAAACAGATCACTGGCAACATTTCATTTCAAGTTGCAAGACTTTATCAGTCGTTACAAGGATGAAGATATTTACTTGGTGGAAACTCTTCCAGCTAAGATGAGAGGTACAGTTTTAACCATTTTTAAAGTTTGACAGGCAGATGATAGTCTTGCTGTTAGGCCTTAATAGTTTCATATGTTCAAACAAGTCCCCGGCTTGCATGACAACCTCTCCCTGTGTAAATACTGAAGTCCCATTTATATGGTCTCAGTTACCCAACCTTCTCTTCCCCCCCCTCCCAAGTTACCCTGTCCAAGCTACCTTTTCATTTATTTCTTTGAAAAAATCAACCAACAATTCATATGAAAATGACAAAATACAAAAATACAATGCAGCAAAGTGAAATAGGCAGAACAGAAACATTTAGTTTGCCATCACAGACAAGAGGATTGGTGCTGGGTGAGAGGAACTGTGGGTATAGTTTTGAGATATGTATAGTAGGTCGTTGAAATTACAAAATTATTCTTGGTCAGCAACCATTTAGTAACTAGGTTTAGTTTAAAATACGAAAAACATTTCAACTTTGTATGACCTATTGTTGTAAATCAGCCCATAGAGTTAGCAGCATTGTAATTAGTGGGGTATACATTCCCTTTGTTTCCACAAAGTGGTTTTTTCAACTTTGTATGACCTATTGTTGTAAATCAGCCCATAGAGTTAGCAGCATTGTAATTAGTGGGGTATACATTCCCTTTGTTGTCACAAAGTGGTTTTGGATGTTTGTATCCAGCAGTGTTGCATTTATTCAGAGATGCATATGTTTGTATGATGTATCACTATATCAGTGAGCATAGTTGCTGCAGTAAACTGGTGTGTGAGACTTGCTGACTTACAGACCTCTGTATTTACACCATATGTTGTTTGCGTTTCATCAATTATTGCAGTTAAAATCTCATATTAGGGGGCAAGACAATGCGGGTGGGAAAGTTGTTCTGCCTCAAAAAGTATGGTGACTCTATTGAGCAGAAAACTTTTTCTTATATGATTGTACACTTTGTGTTCCCTGAATGAGGCAAGATGGCTCATATTTATCCAATACATAAGCAGCCTATCTGTGGCAAGGGAGACTGGTGAGAAGACAACTGTCGCAACTCACAACTCTATATAAATGCTTTGTAAAGCTTTCTCAAAGGGAAAGGTTGTCTTGTGTCTCAACCCTTTAACTCCCAGATCAAATTTGTAATTCTCTTTACTGTCAACCATACAATTCTTATAATGTAAGTTCAGATAATTTTGTATTGGATCAGCTAATTATCCCCAATTTGATATTTTTCTTTATTCTCTTCACTAATCCAGTTGATATAGTATTAGTATTGTAAGGAGAAATTCTGTCTTGGTCACTCATGGAAGTTAAAGGGTTGATGCAGTTGACCACAATTCCAAAGTGTTATAAATTGTTCTTTGTTTGAAAGTACATTTTGCTTATTTCTAAACTATTTGACCTCATTTTATGTGACTGGGCTAATGTTGGAGGAAATCTTCTTTTTAAACTAGTTTCTATTGTTGTCAGTGATGATAATCTCCTATATGATTTTTAGTAATAGTTTAATAAATACTTGGCAGCATATGCTCACAGACTCACTTACTTTTTCAGAGGAATATGCACTTTTGAAGAGTTTAAGTTGTGGAGGCTACACAAATGTGCTTCAAGATGCTGTTGTCTGGTTCAGCAGTGGTGGTACTAAATCAGTTCTCCATTATGATTCTGTGGATAACATCAACTGCCTCTTTGATGGAACAAAAGAGCTGGTCATGATTAACAAGGTAGGCTTTGTGTAAAGGACTTATAGCCAGACAACCAGCCTCTCGTTGGTGCTGTGGCATAAGGGGTTGGGCTTATTGTGTGCAAAGAAAGCCTACAGTTTTTGAGTTGCAGTGTCTCCTTGTAGACTTAAAGCTTTAATTCCCAGAATTGTTTAAAATTTAACTTCTCCCTATGTTTCAACACATTATCCAGCAACAAGTACGGAGAATACTCAGACTTATCAGGTAGAAGTTGTTATCTTGATCTGGTACCAACTTCCCTTAAACCAATATATAAGGAAATGTGAAGCAACAAGAGGGGACTGAATAAACAGTCGGATCTTGGGATTGAAAGGGTTAAAAGTATTCATCCATTTCTCAAATGCCTGAGAGTTGGTACCAATCAACTGTTGAATTGGTGGAAATAATGTGTGTGTGTTTTTTTCTTTTTTTTATGGAATGTTTTTTTTTTTCAATGGGTGCTTTTTCTTCTGTTGTAGTCTCATCTTGAGCAAGCACATATTGACAAGGTCCATGGGGCATTTTCCACTGTTGACGTAGATCAAGTTGACATGTACAAATTCCCAGGACTACAGACAATCCCTTATTTTAAGGCTGTCATGGAACCAGGAGATTGTTTTTTTATCCCTGCAAGGTAATCTTACCCTCCTTATAAGTGGGCTGTCAGCAAATTTATCTTTGTTCATTTACAAGATCAGCCAGTTAGATGCTGCTAGACTAGGATTTGGTCAAAATATGATAACCACAATTTAAAGCACTTCAGTTTGTTCACCATACAATGGAAATATGATGATTCTTTAGCCATCATTCCTGATTCATCCCTTATTTCAATGCCCTGAGAGATTTTTTTATCTGAAAGGGAGAACACACTCGTTAGTTTGCTCTATCTCCTGTTACAGCATTTCTCAAGGAAAACCCTTGAGGTTTTTTTTTTTTGTTTCTGGCTAGGACTCTAGTTAAAGTGATGAACTGCTTCAAAGTTGATTTAATTTGTTTACCAAATGACAAATCCTAGATGGGTTCATCAAGTGCGCTCCTATGGAAAGCGAAACCTTGCTGTGAATATTTGGTGGGCCCATTTTGAAAAGTTTAACCAGTCAGATTGTGATGACAGTCCCTACAAAGACAAAGAGTTGATTCCTCTTCATCACTTTGAGTTCCATCCACAAGAAGCCCTCAGGTAGATGTAATTCTGAAAGTTGCATTCAGTAAAAAATATTTTAAGTCCAGCCTCACCATCGTCCTGCTTTGGACAAAATTGGCACAGAAGAATAGGTGCTTTTTTAAGGGTGGGTTAGGGTGTGGGTCTTGTCAGTTGAAATATATAGTGTCTTGCTAGCATGAACAGGAAGCAAATTAAAGTCTATTTTTTCAGGTACCGGTATATGCATGCAAGTTCTACAATTTTGCATATTTTCAATGCCAAAAGGATTGGAAAAGTGTGGCAGTCACAGCTGATTGTAACCTGCTGTGAATTTTCTCCATCTCTGGAGTAAAGTCAGTTGTGGGTCACTTTGAATTAGAATTATAACCCGAGTGAATCCTGAAAACCCTCTCCTTCCAAAACCAGACCAAATGCAAAACCTTTGTAGTGAAATGTCTTTGCACTTACCCTAATTTTAACTCTTTAACCTGTAAGAGTA